AGATACCGTTCCGAAATATCACTTACTCGAACCGTCCTGACCGCGTAGCTCAGTTGGAAGAGCATTGGGCTAGTATTCCAAAGGTCGTAGGTTCGAATCCCACCGTGGCCGGGCATATTTTTCAAGCTCGCCCGGTGTGGATATGCACTCAGAGTAACAGCGCAAACATATTATTCACCTGAGTACACAACACCAACACGGAAAAAATATTCATATTACTAGAACACATTGGTATTGAACGAACTGGGTACTGTTCGGAAATATCACTTACTCGAACCGTCCTGACCGCGTAGCTCAGTTGGAAGAGCATTGGGCTAGTATTCCAAAGGTCGTAGGTTCGAATCCCACCGTGGCCGGGCATATTTTTCAAGCTCGCCCGGTGTGGATATGCACTCAGAGTAACATCGCAAAACATAAAATCCGTAGAATGTTATAACGATGCTCTGTAAAATGAAATTGTCAGTATACACTTTATTACATGTAGCTACTGTAGGAGAGGACAATCTACAACTACATGCATATATGTATTATATATATATATATATAATACAACATCTCCACTCCCAGTGCATATTAATACTAATATTGAAATATTGAATACATTTCCATCTTTTATATTGAACAGGAATGTTTTTGGCCATGAAGCAAAGGCTGTTTAACATCAGCTAAGAAGCATACTATAAATAATTTTAAAATATAGTCATACCTTTCCGCCAAATTATTTGAAATATCTGTAAAAAAAACACAAAAACTGTTAAAAACACGAAAACTTTTTTGTTGTGACAAACTCAGTAAATGAAGTTATTTTTGCCCAAAACATATATATTCCACAAATAGTAGTGTAATTATTTTTCGTTCAAAGATAGAGTGTATGTTCAAAAAACTTAACAAATTTTAAAGGGTTTTTTTTTCGGAAATCATTAATAAAATACAACATCTCCACTCCCAGTGCATATTAAAACTAATATTGAATACATTTCCATCTTTTATATTGAACAGGAATGTTTTTGGCCATGAAGCAAAGGCTGTTTAACATCAGCTAAGAAGCATACTATAAATAGTTTTAAAATATAGTCATACCTTTCCGCCAAATTATTTGAAATATCTGTAAAAAACAAAAAAAAAACTGTTAAAAACACGAAAACTTTTTTGTTGTGACAAACTCAGCAAATGAAGTTATTTTTGCCCAAAACATATATATTCCACAAATAGTAGTGTAATTATTTTTCGTTCAAAGATACAGTGTATGTTCAAAAAACTTAACAAATTTTAAAGTTGTTTTTTTCGGAAAAAAACTTACTGTCAGTTACTGCCTAACAAAACAGCCAAAAACCAAAATTTCGCGCGCTTCGTATTTACGTGGATGTTGCGTGTGAATTTTCGGTAACCATAGTAACACACGCAATATCCACGAAGAGTGATCTGGAGTGTCTTGAATATTATTCTGGGGCCAGTTGTTTAAAACTTGTTTAGCTTAAACCCCAGCTTAACCTAAAATTCAAAGCAAACTTCCTCACAGCTTGTCTATGGAAATTTGGAAATATTTTTTCAGATATCTTGTCTGGATCTAAGGAGTTTACTTCTCTGAAGTTTTGAAATAAACATGCGTGCAGAAATACATAAACTAAAACAGAAGGTTAAATTTTAACCCAGGGTTAGCGCTAACCCACCGTTGAACAACCGGTCCCTGAGTTCCGTTGTACGAAGGTCAGATATAGGGCTATCCACCGGATAGTGATTTTTTCAAACTTTATAAAATGCTTGAAAAACTGTGAAACTATGGATAGAGACGACACACAAGTGAGAAGAAGTATGAAAAACATTTAATTTATAAACACTAAACTTTAATACGAGTTATACCAATCAACGACTGATTTAACAAAGCTTGAATAATCCCTATCCGGTGGATAGCGCTATCCGGCCATCGTTTAATAGGCTTCGTACAACCGGTCCCTGTAGTCTTGATCTGAAGGGAACTGTTTTATCAATAGAATAGTTACTCAAAACAGGAGAAAAATCTTACCTTTATATGAATTTGGTTCAATTTCTAAAGATATAAAATATTATGTAGAAAAAAAAGACAAAGTTTTAAATTTATAGTATATATACGTAATAATACTATTTAATATTAAGCACAGGTATGTCAACATGCAGCCAACCTCAAAAACATAATATGTAATATTATGTCTAGGTACAGGCAATGACAAACTCCCTGAATGCCTTCCTCAAAATTAAACACAATAATAAAGAGGCATAGACTTAATTTATTAGACTACACCTTTAAAATTGTGCCTAGTAACAGGAGAAATAACCTCGAAAGCACAGTATACTGTATGTGCCCAGTATACTATGCTGGTGATTGAACACCACAACTCTTCAACTTAATATGACAACTCATGACCTAGGCTGGATCGATATACCGGATATATCCGATATACCGGTATTTGTTTAGATACCGGTTTGGCGATATTGACAATTTAAAAATACCGATATACCGACATTTCGGTATTTTGCTGCCTATAATACCGAAATGAAACGCTATTTCAAGTCAAACTTGCTTACAATCACGTTTAGAAAGCAAAGTTAATACTCACAGATGCATGATTTTGTTCTTACAGTTCTAGCAGCTTTGGTTTAGCATAATTAGCAATACTAGACGTCTTGTTTCTTAAATCGCCTTAATCGGAAATATAACTAAAGGGCGAAATTTTTAAAGGAAAATTTCGACAAAAAAGAAAACTTTGGCGAAAACCCTGGCTTTTCAAGTTTTTTTTTTATCGGGCAGTATAAGAGGGTAACTTTTTGTTGTTTTTAATCTTATTTAACTGACATGCTAACTTGTTTATGTGTTAGTTTTAAAAATGCAACGTTTTTTATGTTTATAACTATTAGCAGCTTACTGAAACACTATCTGAATTTATATACAAAACGAATATTTTCGCCCAATCGACGCCCAATCGACGGCCCACTAATAATTGCCGCTTAGCGCTGTTAATTGTTAACATAGCTTGATAATGCGAATCTTGTGACATTTGCACTAATAACGGTATGTGCCACATTAATATTTTGCCAAAACTTGATTTTTCTTGACGGTCAGCACTTCAGTTTGGCTTAAAAAAAACACGTTAAAAATACCGGAATACCGGTATTTACCGGTATTCTGATGGCGGTATATCGGTATTCGGTATTTGCGATATCAATCCAGCCTATCATGACCTATTATATGTTTGGACAGTTTTCTCTGCAAGCACTTTAAGTCGCTGTTCAGCTTCGAGTCGTTTTTGCATATTTTTACTCCTACCAATTGCTTTCAGGCGATCAAATGTCATAGGTTCAAATACAATATCATGAATCGATCTCACCCGTGATGTAGCTACAAATGTGCATCCAGCAACTTTTTCTCCTTTACCTAAATGAACAACAGCTTTTGTTAGTGTCTGTCCTTGTGACTTATGAATAGTCATTGCATACCTCAACCGCAAAGGCACTTGTTGCCTTGACAGACACTTTCCATCAGCCACCCATTCAAACACTTTGGGTGGCACAGGTATACATTTAGAACATGCATCTAGGAATGCAGGACCAGTGTAACTATGGAAGTGTACCAATACTGCTATTAGCAGGTTTGGTGGACCCATATTCTCTGCAAACCAAATCTGCTCAATAGTGCCAAATGATCCATTGCAGAGACCAACTTCAGCCCACAGGTTGCAAGTGAGCATTACTTCTGCTTTTGTGGATAAAAACAGAACAGCATCCAATCCACCAGCTTCGTCCGACGTTGCCGCACTGGCACCATGACCAGAATGCTTTGCCTGAATTTTAGCAACAGGTTGTCCAAGCTGCAATAGCTTCTCGTACTGTAATTGTATTCAGCAACACTTTTCTTGTCAAAGTACAATCGGATGGCATCAGTAAATTGATCCATTGGTACATTTGTTGTTGAATGCTCCAACAATAGTTTCCAGTCCTCCCCTGTCACTTCTCCATTTCGCATTCTCATCAGCAAGGCTCTAAAAGCAACTGCCTCAGGGTTCTCACTAGCCTGACGCATCACTTGATCTAAAATAATGACAGACTCAAACATCAGATACAAACTACAGTATGTTCATGGTCACTTACTACAGTTCCATTACCTGAAACATACATTGGCTTATCACCAACAGGTGGTAATTGACCAAAATCCCCCATTAGAATTACTGACATACCACCAAAAGGGATATCTTCCTTTCCAGTACCAGCACGTAATCTATTGTCAAGCCATGATAGCATTTTATGTCCAATCATTGACATTTCATCAATAATCAGAAATCTTTTACCTTCCAGCCTCAGCTGTAACCGCTGTAGTGAATCACCCTGCAAATCCCTATATTCACGGATAGGAAGTTGAGCAGCAGAATGTAATGTTTGACCATTAATACTAAAGGCTGCAATCCCAGTAGTTGCTGTAACAACACACTGAGTGGCTAATACTTATTTTGTTGCACTTATTAAGTATGTCTTACCTGTGCCAGCTGTTCCACACACAATCATATAAACAGGCTCGGCATTATCACCATTCTGAGATGTGATGATGTCATAAGCAAGGCGTTGTTTTTCATTCAAGGTCTCCGGATCAATTACACATTGTTGATCATCTTCTCGAAAATGCTGACCATGTTCTTCAGCCTCCCTTCTTTGACTATAAATCCATCCTGGAGATTCCTTTAATAAATCTCTAGGCACAGCTCTTACCATTTCAAACCAGTCCACTGCTTCACCATAATTTTGGTTAATTCTGCATAATAACATCCAATCATCGACTTCCTCCTCATCATCAGGGTCAACTTCACTTTCGTCGTCAACATCTTGATTGTCAGTTGGATCGTTTTCAAAGGTTTGACCACATTGCGCATCTGTCTGTTTCATCGGGATACCTAAACACATTTTCTTCTGCAAATTCATCTGTCATAAGAAAAAATTCATATGCATTAATAAACATTTGATCACTTTCATCCTCGTTGTTCCAAGCATTTGACGGTAATGACCCTCCCATGGTTTAAACTTTATTAGTTGATATTTGCAGTATTTACCAAAATCAGGACCAGCAGGATTAGCGGAAATCTTTGGAAATGTCCTGACAATGTACGGATTAGCTCGTTTTGTCAACTCACCTCGGACTTTCGTGTACTGTGACACATATTGCATCAGATTTAGCTGAGACAAGCCTGTATACCTACTCTTCAATTTTGTACGTTCTGCATATTCTTGTAGCGCAGATGTTTGAAGTACCTCATCGCTTTCGTTTTCTGCATCAATATTAACCTTCCTGCTGTTATCTAAAGAAATAATAACAAAACTAAATGTGCAGCCAACCAGTGGTAGACTAAGTAACATATGTGCAGTTTCTTGTGCTGCCATATCTCTATCTCCAGCAACTTGGATCATTGCTTTCTTGAAGGCCGAAGAGACTTGATCATCATTCTGTAATGAAGACACAGACAATTTTAGTATTTCTGATTTATTTTCCGATTTCGAACGGGGTTCTCCTTTCGCAGCATACTTGGCCATGTATCTTGCACAAGCCTTCTCATCTACAATGACTTGAAAATCTACATTTGCCCGCCAGTTTTCGAGCATCACCCTGTTATGCGAATTTAATCTTTGATCATTTCGTTTGGTATGTAACTCAGACTCAACAGACTTCGTATTCTTACCTACCACCAGCTCAAGGCTCAGTTCTGTTTCTTCTTGCAATGGCTTTGGAAAACCAAATATGCATTCTGCAAGCAGGTCCACTCTTTTCTGTTTCAAACAATACGCTGGACTGCACCTAGTGTGTCTTTCTACAGTATTAACTAACCTGTGATAATCATTGTCACGATTATCCAATGTTGTAGCACTAAAAGCAGATGGATGAGGGTCTGGTATCCTCCAGTTTTCATCTGGCAATTCCTCATTAAAAGTTGTCACCAGCCAGTCAACATACCTTTAAAATAATCAATACTTATTATTAAAATGTGCGCTTTTTCTATTAGCCAAATATTACCGAATTAGTCATAAAACAGTTTTAATCACACCATAATTTGACTGAGTGAAACATTTTCCTGTGAAACCTGTATGACCACAGCCTGTATGACCACAGTCACAGATTTGTGCCACAGTTAAATTTCCACTTTCTATTTATGTAATTTCTTACATTCCAATGAAATCTTCAGAAATTATTGAAAATTCCTTTGAGGAAAATTGAAACCTTTTAAGGAATTTTATAAGGAATTTTTGTTTACATGTAAAATATTGTTACTTTTTCAATTTTAATGTAGCAAAGGTAATACTACCGTATTATAATATAATAAAATATGAAAGACCTTTCAAAATTGTGGAGATTGGCTATCTGCATATATTATTAGCTGGATATTTGGTGAGTGTTTTGTGTATTAAGGCAGATTTACACTACACAACTTTTGCCTTATGCAACCTGCTTTACTAACCTGCTTTACTAACTAGTTTTACTGTGTAAAATATCAAGGACACAAGTTGACACTGTATTAAACTTGCATTTACTCACTTACGTTGTCATAGGCATAGTTGTGTGCTGGTTCACCCAGTACACTCAAGTTGTTACATGCATATAAGCAGGTTGTATGCGAAGTTGTGTACAGTAGTTTATCCTGCCTTTTAATTTACAGTAGTAGTCATATTATTAAATATCCAAAATAGGCAGCAGTGGTTAATACATGCATAATACAAAAATTCGCTTTTTACAGTAGTTGACATGAACATTTGACCTGCACACTTTTAGTTGATATCAACATTTGGGAGCATGCCAAGGTATAGTTTTAATGGTATTTTGAAATGCTATTGCAATATATTGAGTAGGAGGTACAGTAAGACATCTCTAAAAATACAAAATTCAATGTTATGACTATGAGAAGCGAGTCCGGTATTGTGTAACTACTGCAATAATTATGATCCAGTATTGTCCAGAGGCCGCGGAACCGGGGGGGCATTGGGGGCAAATGCCCCCCCACTTTTTGTAACTGGGAAAAATGTGCCCCTTTTCTAGAATGAATGTGCCCTTCTTCCGTGTAATAGAAGTACCCTTATAAGCCTTGTTTCAGGAACTATTGAACTAAAGACGTTTTTCTTACATACAGGCTGCTTAAATGTCCCCTTAAGCTAATAAGTGCACTGCTGGCAGAAGTAAATATATCGTTTTTAACCATTTGGAGTGGTATACGCATAATACGCTAATAGGAAAAGCGTATTATGCGTATAAAAATATGTAAAACAAAGTCAATCGTCACTATGCAAAATCGACTATATAGCTTGGTTTTTGATCCTGATTGCCCAGAAGGATAAAAAATTGCGATTTGTCTTCGCAGACGTCCGCCCCGCTTAGTTAACCAATTAGAAATCGTAATTTATTATCCACATGAGACTATAAATTCTACGGCTGCGCATTGTCCCGTCGTATTGTTTCTCAGACCATCGTTCTTGCATGACCGTTGACAAATCATAATAATAATAATTAAAAATTTACAATATTCAATCAGGAGGTCTACTCAAAATCATCATGCCTAGACCTGCTAGGCGAAAACGAGAAAAAGAAAAAGAGCTTGCAGAAACAGCTAAAAGGATGCGGAAACTGACAAGTTTTTTTAATAGCGCGCCAACTAAAGAGGTCGACTTTGGGTCTAATTCGACACAACCGTCAACAACGGAAACTCCACCAACCTGTTCATCTCATCATTCTGATTCCGAATCAAATTTCAATGATCCTGGCCCTACCTCCTCTTCAGAGATACAAGTCGCGCAGCCGACCGAGCTATCTACTCCCACAGCTTCTGACAACCTAGCGTCTGACAACCACAGCTTCTGACAACCTAGCGTCGATGGGACTACCGTCCCATTTGTAGGACCTATGCCATTGCCAATTGAATCAACAGAATGTTTGCTAGGACTGGACTGTCAGCGTTTGTGCTGTGCAGACAGAAAGCCATACCGTCCTAGTCAAGAAGAAATAAAGCGCACATCTAAAAAGCAAACCACAAAAGGAGGATCGTCGAATGTACGAATATGTCCATCCTCTATATTTTTGAAATATGTTTGGGTCACATATTGCATAACGAAATGTACCATTGCCTGTTACTTCTGTAAAAGAGCGATGCGTCAAGACCTTATTACATTCAGTCATAACGGTGAAAAGGCCTTTCTCTTAGGAGAATTCAGCGACTGGAAAAAGTGCCAAGAAAAACTTAAAAAACACTCTCAGTCTAAATTTCATGCGGAGGCCACTGAGAAAGTTTTATTATTTGATGATTCGAGAAGCGATATCGGAGCGAAATTAGTCGGTGAATTAAAAAAACCCCAGGAAACTCGAAGACAAATGTTGTTAAAACAACTTAGTAGCATTAGGTATTTGGCACGCCAGGCCCAGAGCTTGCAAGGGAAAACTGATATTGAGAGCAACTTACACCAGCTGCTAAAATTAAGAGCAGAGGATGTTCCTGAACTATTGGAGTGGATTGACAACGGAAGATATCTCAGTCATGACATTATAAACGAGTTGATTAACATGATGGGCAATGCAGTCCTGAGGTCTATAGTCGCAGACCTACGTAAAGAATCACAGTTATTTAGCCTTATTGCAGACGAGTCTAGAGACATAAGCAACAAGGAACAATTAACATGTGTTTTGCGTTGGATATCTACAACCAACTTATCCGTCCACGAAGATTTCCTCGGTATGTACGAGCTAAAGAAAACCGATGCTGAAACAATCACCACTTCGCTGAAGGATATTTTGTTGCGATGTAATTTGACGATAGACGACTGTCGGTGGCAAACATATGATGGCGCAGCAAATATGGCTGGAAGCAGAAGTGGAGTTGCAGCCCGAATATCTTTAGAGAATCCCCGCGCCCTGTACATTCACTGCGGGAACCACAGCCTTGATTTGGCTTTGCATGATTGTGTGAAGGAAAGCGGAATTATCAGTGATACGTTGAAGTTCGTGCAAGACTTGGCCGTCTTTATTCGATCTTCACCAACACGAATGGCGCAATACCAGCATATCGCCGAAGAGATTAACGACAACGGCATGCAAGTTGAGAATCCGCATTTGTTGTGTCCAACTCGGTGGACGGTAAGAACCAAAGCAATATCGGCTGTCTTGCACAATTACGAGGCCTTGTACTCCACATTACTCAGCATTGCCAAAGAATCTTCCAAGTCTACCGTACGTGACACCGCATCACGTATGGCTAGCCAACTGAAGAAGTTTTCCACGTACTTTGGTTTAAGTTTTGCGCAGAATATCTTTAGCGTTTGTGAACAAGTTGCATCTACGTTACAGAAGCCTTCAATAACGGCACAAACAACTGTTACTTGTGTCACTTCCTTGAAGACAAACTTGCAACGCCAACGAGACGACTTCCATTTGTTTTACGACCAGGTAGTCACTTCGAGCAAGGCCATCAACTTTGTAGACGATCCTAAACTGTCAAGAGCGAAGCAACTTCCGCGGCGATTTCAGCACGGAGATGGTGAGCAACATCATTTCCAATCCGCGAAAGAATTCCACCGTGCCCAATGTGTTGAGGCACTTGACGCATGCATGGCTGCACTACAGGAACGTTTCGATCAAGAAATATATTCTGTATTGATGAACATCGAAACCGTGCTCATTAATGCGGCAAATGGGCATACGTTTGAGTTAAATGATGCAGTTAAACGCCTTTACGAAGAAGACCTCGATTTTGATCAGCTAAAGGCAGAGTTAAAGCTTCTTGAAGGAATTATCTCTCAGCGTCTTCCAGAAGTTAAGAAGGTGACATCAATTGACACCATTACATCAATATTCTCAACCGACGAAACTGACTCATCGCAGATCGTCATGGCAATGTCTAACGTTGTCCGACTTTTGCAGATTTACCTTCTTGCTCCAATGAGCGCAGCCTCTGGAGAACGGTCTTTTTCAAGCCAGCGTCTTGTCAAAACGTATCTAAGGAGCACGTTTACGGCAGCACGCTACAACAATCTTATTGTTATGCATGTAAACAAGGCCAGAACTGATGAACTGGACTTAAGTTTGATTGCTAAAGACTTTGTTTTGAAAAACGAACGTAGAGTTAGATTTTTTGGCAAATTTTAATAAAATCGCATTACGTAATAAAATTGTTCATTTAATCATCTTCAGTTTGTTAAAACTTAGGACGCATGCAGTGCAATAGAGAATACGCATAGCATCCGAAGAATGTCCACCAATACTTTGCTGATTTTGTGACTTGATCATCATTCATGAAACAATATTATATATCTTCATTATGCTAAGATAGTAAGGTGCAAAACTCAAGTGCCCTTTTTGGTCAGTGCACCCCCACTTTCGAGGTGCTTCCGCGGCCTCTGGTTCGCAGTTTTTCATGCTTGAGGAGAGAAGTGTTCATTTTCCAAACACCCCGATCCCACGTAATAACGTGATTCGTATCAAAAATATTAAAGGAAACCAAATCATGATCAGATAAGTGACATGGTTGAATTCCAGTTACTATCTTACTATCATCCACCAAATCCACAGAAATGTAAAATTTATCCAACCGCGACATTATAGAACGGTCCGCGTTGGACCAAGTACAAGTTTTCAATGATGGATGTTGATGTCTCCAGATATCAATCAAATGATATTTTGATAACAACCGCTTCAATTCTGGGCTACCAATACTCCCGTGAGGATTTCCACCGAAACGGTGCATAGCTATATCTAAAACCAAATTAAAGTCCCCGCCCATGATCATTTTACGGCGGGTTAACAAATATTTGTCCAGCTGCGACAAGAAATTCAACCGATCTGTACCAACGGCAGGAGCCTAAATATTGACAACCCGCAAAGGTGTTCCATTAAAAGTCAAATCGCAAACGCACACCTACCGTCAAAGTCAACATCAAACGAGATACCCTCGAATTTCGCAGGATCACGAATTAAGATACCAACACCCCGACTATGAACAGTTCCAACACTCCAAAATCCTCGACATCGACATTCAGCATTCCACTGCATGCATTCCCGATTGTTGAGTATCCT